ATTTAAGAATATGTCCATTTTTAATTTTAAGAACTGGCCCTTAGGTTTAGAGGAGCTACAGGTCTATGGCAATGAACAGCTTTCATCAGTAGTAGATCATTTTGAAGAACTGTTGATAAGGAATGATTGTGACATTGATTCTGTTCCTTTGGAGTGGGTTTCATTGAAGATATATGTTTCCGGTTTTGAGGCAGCTGAACCAGCAGTTTATTACTTCGACTTATGGCAAAGAGTTATCAGAGAAAATGAGGATAGATTCAAGAATATCATCCTGGTGCTTATGATCGTGCTGCTGATTCCAATCCACACTAGTGAAGTTGAGAGAGGCTTTTCTCTTATGAACAGGGTAAAACAAGATTGGCGGGCAAGGCTAACAACCCCCCACTTAAATGAACTGATGTGCATTCCTCTTTTGGGTCCTGCATGCAATGAATTTGAACCAATGGAAGCTATAAGGCTGTGGTGGCAAGGTGGAAGAAGAGCTAGAAGACCCCAATTTCAGCCCCATGGACCCAGAAGAAGACAGGCAAGATGTGAACATGATCTGGATACTGGAGACAGCTCTGATTCTGAAGAAGAACAGTAAATTGCAAGACTCTAAAGACATTTGAATTAAGTTTCCTGGCAAGCTTTTGTGAAAAAGTGTTTATTTGTGAGGTTCCAACTTCCAATTTTTTTTCCTGTTATTATACTGTAATGTTTGTTGATTATTATAATACTAATACTAATGGACAAAAACGAGACACAGGCTGGTCAAAACATTTTATTAAGATACTCTTGAATACAGTTCACTGTATTTGTATTTCATTTTCTTGTTCAAATTAATAAAAGCCACTGTTTAGCTACCTGTATTAGTTTCTTGGCTTGAACTGGGGCAAGAGCTTGGACAACCAAAATATTCTATGGGCAACCAAACCAAGTCTTGTGGTTGCCCCAGGGGCAACTGGACATAAAAGTAAATTTCGAACCCTGTTATTAGCTTTGATCTTCTCAAACAAAGATCGTTTAACTATGGCCAACTATATGTAGCACTAAGCCATTCAACATCATTGCAAGGACTTCATATTCTTGGAAATATTGAAATGAAACATGTTAAGGCAAATCCTAAAGTACACCAAGAATATGAAAGGTTACGAGAGATTTCACCAACTACAAATAGTCTTTTCTCTCAACTTCAGTTAACAGTCTCAAATAATGATGTCACAGTTTCTCTGTTAAATATTAGGTCTCTTCGAAAACACAGTATTGACATAAAAAATGAAGCAAATATAATGAACAGTGATGTCATAGCTTTCACAGAAACACAACTCCTTTCTCATAATTCAGATGCTGAAATAAGAGAAAACTTACACCCACCACCAGATCAAGTGTTTAGAAAGAGAGTGTAGTTCCTGAGGGATTGATGGTTTCAAATTGCTTCCAGACGAAACCTGCCAGGAGGGATCAGTACGATGGTCCTGCTATGAATGTGTCCCAACTGGAAAATGTTTTGAAGATGGGCAAGAGAAAAAAAAAGATTTCTTTGGTTCAAAAGGATACATCTCCATTTCAGCTGTTCAGCTACCTCAAAGAGCTGCTACAAGTTTATCCAAGTCACTCTTTTATGGCCCGCTGGCAACGAGAACAGCTTGACAGTTTGCTGGAAAATCTCCCTCTAGGGCATGTTGTATGTGTTAACAACTATTCAGAAGGATATGCATGTAGAAAGCAAGATGAAACTCAAAGTTAATACTTTGACGTTGCTAAAGTTTCACTGCGTGTATCCATACTTTATCGACATGCCATTGAGGCCACAGATCGTGTACAAAGTACAGAGGAAGAACCCCAAACAGTTAAAAAGCACATCTTTGTGATCTCTGATGACCCTGGGCAAGAACATAACAGCGTCCACCGAGTTCAAGAGCTCATCAATCAGTACCTAACTGAAGACCTTGGCTGTGAAGTGAGAAAAATGCACCAGTTCACAGATGGCTATGCAACCCAATACAAATCCCGACACTGCTTGGGTGACTTGTCCTGCTCTCTTGCTGATTATGGTTATTTGATACAGAGGAATTTCTTTCAAACATCTCATGCTAAAGGAGAGCAGGATGCTGCTTGATCAAACACCAAGCAGAAAGTCAGGACAACCACCATCAAAAACGCAAAGGAAATGTATGATTACCTACTTCAGAACTTCTGCCATCCAGCAGTATCAACCTTTTCTATACGTACAAAGTCTGTTCAGCTAAAGTGGTGCATTTTTTCCATGCACCTATTTCTGGAGAGGGAGCTGTACAAAGGAACAGACCCGGACGACAGTTTAAGACTTCAAAGGGAATAAGGAAATTGCATTGTGTAAAATCTTTGACTCAGCAAGAGAAGCTGTTGGTTGCCTCATGGATGATGAGCTCAACTGCCTGAATAAAGATTGGCTTGACGAATGGAAAGAAGTTTCTATACTTAGAGAAGCCACCGCAGCAACGACCAGGCAGGAATCAGAAATTCTAGTTCTAGATCATGACACGGCACTGCACATAGCAGACCTGGCTGGAAAAGATAGCACTGTTGCAATTGCAGCAATTGATGACCCCATGTATGACTTCTACTCAATGAAAGTTACTTCTGATGGTGTAGAACAACTGAGTGAGAACTTCACGGATGATTATCAGTGTCATTACTATCGAGGAAGCGAGATTTTAAAGGGTCACTTCTACTTACAGGATAACATACATGATATGACTTATACTTTAGACAAAAAGAATGTTGCAGCAGTGTTCGCAGCCACTGTGAGACACATCTGCAGTGATCTTGCAGTTAAAAAAAGAAACAAGAAGTGCATTTATAAGCTCTCGCTTATGCAGCATGAGGAAATCATCGCTTCATTGTGACATTATTATCCTAACTTTTTCGCTAAAATAGATTGTTAATATAAAAAACATCATATATTTGCTTTACACTTAGCTATTCCAGCTTGCTTCCCTTCTAAATAGCGCTCTGTGAAGGAAAAACAACTCGATTTGAATTTTGCCACGCCCTCAGTACATCATGGGTAAATAAAAAATGGCTTTGTGTATTGAAAAACTATATTTTTTGCAAGATTTCAATGGAAATAACCATAGTAAGCAAAATTAGGGAGAAAGAAACAATAAAACGAGCTTTCTTGAATTCAGACATTTTTTGACCTATTGTAACGCAAAATGGAGTTATGACTGTGCTACTCATCAAAACAATCTAGAACTATACCAAGTTTCATAACAGAATTAGAACATATACTATATAATGATGATATAGATGTAGTTCTTGGTGATTTTAACATTAATTATATGAATAGTGATGATTGTAACCCACTTAAATCAATGATGAAATCTTTAAATTTTAGTAGTAAAACAACCAACTTTTATTTCCTCTGGCACCGAATTGGATCATATTTACCTCAAATCTTCCAGATTTAATATACTTGAAAATAAAGTGATCATGTGTACTATTCTGACCATGATGCAAATAAAATTAGTATCCAAAAGATATAGCTATATCATATGAAACACTTTACTTACAATAACATCATTTTACTCATAATAACATCATAAACATCAAGATACTGTCTCTATACTAGGATCAATAACAATTATTCATAATAAACTATACAAAGCAAAACCCCATCAATGATTTTATTAGAAAAATAAAACAGAAATTCTAAACATTTACACAAAATTTTAAAAAGCATAGCAAAAATTCAAATATAAACAACAAGGGCTGGTATGACAGCCACTGGCGGACAACAGAAGACCTTGATGACAGTACTTCATAAAAAAAAATAGGTTTGTAGCCAATTTCATTTATTATACCCTTTGAACACCAATAATACATTAAACAAAGACTTAATAAAATAACACCATAAAATAACAACACAATAATATATTTCAGGAAGGAAAATAACAAATGTACCTGCCCAGCACATTACACAGTATAATCCAAACAGAACAGCCACTTCACAAATATTCAAAATTGAAAGGTAGGAATCTACTCCCTTTAATGTTAAGTATATGTAATTATCAAAACTCATGAGTACAAATAAGTTTATTATATAGTTATCAATGAGAAACAAGGTTTCTCTAGAAATATTCACATTTAGTGAAGATATCACGCAAATGTATATTTAACAAATCTCTTTGAATTTTATTGATAGTCATAGCGCAATATTTTTTTAGTTTTTGTCGAAAATTTTCAAAACATCGCCCTGTTATTGGAGAAACAAATTTTACCTTGTCTTGCCCAATTTAGATATCATACTCTTTACTCTTTCACTGCACTTAGTCTTATTTTTCCATACCAAAACTTATATGACCATTTCAGTAATTAACAAACATTAATCTAAACATGTCTCTTATTGCAGAAAAAAGTGAATCATCCAAAAATAACAACCTAATAAAAAATCATGTCAGAGTCTGTTCACAAGCCACAAGTCACAACTACGCCCATAACCACAAAAACGGATCGAAAATCAAGAATTCTGGACCAATCAAAATCAGCAATTACGTAAAACTGACCAATAAAAACACAGATGTAATGAACTAATAACAGATCACCTTGTCGGCACAGAACAACCCACAAAGTTCCCTCACGGGTAAAAGCACAGTATCAACCAATCAGCTTGAAACGTATCTTGATCCTAAAAGGTGAGAAATATACTAAGCTCCTGCGTATAAATAGCCTAGATCACATACGACAGCTCACAGCCGTAACAACTATGATACTTGAAAGCTGTAAAATGTCGTCCCCTCTCAATAAGACAAGCAGTAAGCGTAAAAATGAAGAGACACTCATAGGATACGCACAAGATGTATCAGAAGTGAAAAGAAACCGAAGTAATACCACGGATTATGTAACCATGACAATCCAGACGTCGCCAGTAAAAACATCCCAAGCATTACTGTACTCTTCTCAGAAACGCAAGATCTTCGTTCACAGCCAACAAACGAAGACGCCAATCAAAATTAAAGACTTCGCAAGAACAAGCGACAATAAAATAGTAATCAATGACATGACATACGTAGGTCAACCTACATCCGGCGAGTACTCATTTCAGTATGCTGACGTGCCAGAGGAAAAGCAAATCGCTACGAACATAATCAACATACTAAATGAAGGCAAAGAGTGGGACAGAGTTTCCTTAAAAGCGAAAGTAATCCAAAAACCAGAAGCCATCCAAGTCGGATCGAAGAAGCTTAAGCTGGCCGTCGCCACCGTGGCCGACTTGACTGCTTCGATCCCTTTGGATATATGGGAAGAACATATTCAACGCATTGGAATCAGACAAGTCTACCTCATGGAACCTATGCAAGTAAGGGCATGGTCCAACAAAAAGAAACTGGCAACCCAAAAGAAGACCAACATTACGCAAATAAAAGAAGACCAAGAACTAAACGATGTAGAAATACAAAGACAAGAAACCACCGAACTACAAGAAACTATCATGGTGAAATGCTTCAAGAGAATTCAAAAGTTCAGCAAATGCCCGGACTGTAGTAGACGCCATTGTGGGACGTGCCAAGACACTGTTAAATGTGAACAGAGCAGAATCATGCGAAGCGACAAATGTTCAACGGGGATAACCGTATTATTTTATTGTCATGGATGATCAAGACAACAAACTGTCTGTAAAGATAGGCGACCAAGTCCTTGGCCAACTCATTGACAACATCTTCAATCAAAACAAACAAACTTTAGCACAAAAGTTGCTTTTTGCTGAAAATGTTTCTATCACTTACAACAAAGACCCTTTCATTGTTTCTAAAATCAACCAGACATTTCCTTGGCTTTTTGATATTGAGCTTTCTATACGAACGATGAGGACAAGTTCGAAATCGAATATTTCATGTAAACGAACAATTATTTGTAAAAAAGTTTGATAATGTTATAAGGAAATAACGAGAATACATACTTCAACCATTGTAAGTACAATGTTCAAATAATAAGAAAATTGTAATATTATATAAGTTGATCGAGACAGTAACTATTAAAATTACTTACATCTATGCAGGTGTTCAAACTTTTGGCTGGCAAAACCTCTAAATTTTGCAGAATTGTTTTAGAAATTATTAGCGAAAATGTAAATATGCAGAAGTTTTCTTAGTTTTCGCCTATAGTTTTTATTTCAGTTGATTTAAAACTTTACAAGTTGTTATATGACCACACCACGCGTTACCTTATTATGCTTTACTACATGTTAGCTCTTTTGTATTCTATTGTAAATACATGACTATTATAATTGATTGCACTTTAACAATTACACTTTGTTTCAAGGGTTTTTGCAAACCACTCTAACACTGGATGACATTTTTTACAGTGCAAGACAACAATCCATGACCACAAAGATCTATTTCAAAAATGTCTTATGTCTGTTATCATTTCAAATTCACAATGTTTTCGCAGAAAATAGATAAATGTGATTAATAAATCTCAACGATAAACCAGATGATAACGTACCTTAGAAAATGTGAAATTGTGATAATTCTGTAACAAAGTTCTTTGCAAACTTTGTCATTACCATTCAACCCAAAACTGTCAGTGATTTTTGCTTTTTCACTCAAACTTAAAAACAAATAAAAACCCTATACAGATCACACTTATTGACATCACAGTGTAAAAACACTACTATAACACAGACCGTTAGCTGTGATAACACTGAACAAACTTACAACAACATCCTCCTTTCTCATGCATTTTGTTGCTTTTCTTCTGCATGAGTTAATTCAAGCTAAGTATTAGCCTCCACAGGGGAGGGGGGAGGGGTGCGAGAGGTAAACTATATCTATGCAATCCCGTGTCCCACTGGGCCCCGGTGAGTTCCACGTAGTGGTTCTAGTTTAATTAGTTGATTAATTTCACTTTATTTTTTTTTATCACACTTTATAGTCGTTATTTGCAGCCTAAAAATTTGTATCTCGAGACAGTGTATCTTGTCATGTAATATATCTAATATTTATTTTATTTAGTTACTTAGTTATTTTCATATCGGTTGTAATAATTATGCAATAAGCATTACCGATTACTGTACCAGAAACAGGAAATAATTAAACAAGAGAGACCAATGCTGACAAACCTTCACTACGAGCCTCTGGTTAAACTGGTAACTGAGCCACTGAAGTCCCCATGCTTTCACCACTACTATTACCACTTAAAAAGAACAACTATGTCAAACTCATCAAACACAGGACACAATAACGCTCAAAGACCTTCATTATGAACCTCACGTTTAACTGGTCACTCAGCCACTGAATTTCCATGCTTTCACCACACTTATTACCACTTAAAAAGGAGAAATATGACATGCAAATCAAATACGGGATGCAGCAATGAAAAAAGACCTCAATTAAGAACCTCTGGTTAAACTAGTAACTCAGCCACTGAAGTCCGAATGCTTTCACTATTACTATCACCACTTAAAAAGGACAAATATGCCATACTATTCACAATACTCAAAATCAAAGTGCAAAGCCAAACCATTAAAATAACAAGTCTCATGCACAAGGGTATGCAGGTGCACAGGGCCCTGAATCCCAAGGGGCAATAATAAATGCTGTTGAACACTCCCTCTCCGCTCAGTCTCTGATCAGCGCCAAGGACGAAGGTGGAACTTCCAACTTTTCCCCACGAATTTTCAGCAAAGAACACTTCAGATAAAGAATGCCTCAACCGAATTATGAATGAAATATACTTTTTTCCCTTTTCGAGTTTTCTCCTCACAATAATCCTGTTATTCATACCGATATTCGATAAACCAATTTATACATTTTACCTTATATCAAATTTATCAGTTTTGTTTTCAGCCATTAATTTTCTAGCGTTTTGTTTTACAAGCACTGTTTCTTTAAAAGTAAACAGTTAAGGAGACCAGTCATAATTAAGTTGGAGGGGGGGTGGAGGAGAAATTGGGGGGCCTTCACTTTTTTTTGGATGGAATATGACCTTGGGGGGGTCTTCAAGTTTCTTTTAACCCATTCGCCCCTGAACCGCCCGTAACCGCCCGTGTACGACAACCCCCGAATTCCTTGAACCGCCCGTAACCGCCCGTAAAAATGGCCGCTGGATTCAGTCCATTCCCCTCTCCTCCCGGGTGTTTTTTTGTCTTTTGTTTTCACAGAGTGATTGATGGATAATAAACCAATCATTTGCCATCTTTTGCGCATTTTTTGACAGATGATGAGAAGCACCACAGGGTCGGGTTTTTCGAAGAGCACGAGCAAAAGAAATTCGCGAGAGTAATGGCCGCCCGTGTTGATTTCGAATCAAAGTTCGCATCACGTTTGAGAGAACATAGAGATAATTCGACTCTTGATCACTTCAGGTTGTTGAACAGACCTTGTGAAAAACCTTCTGATTGAGATTTCAACGATCTTAAGACTGAAAAAGACAATCCTAGCCCTCAAATTGCCGAGCGCTTCGTAGGTAAACAAACCGCATGGACTATCGATGAAAACTTACCTCGTTCATTTCATTTACTTGCATCCAAGTACCGTGTTCCTCGCAGCAAATGTTTTAAATGTAACTGTTTCTTGAACTGCTGAAGGTGATGCTTTTGTAGAGTTAAAAGTTTGAACAAGGAAACGGATTATGTGCGACGATCGATTTGGATTGACAATCCCCATGAATAAAATTTACTTCACATCGCGCGGAAGCTCACGGAGAATAAACGGTAACCGTCTTTTTATTCAATTATTTACAGTTGCCAAATGATGCTTTTTGTGTGCTTTTTTTCTTTGTGTATAACTATTAACACCTATCGATCTGTGCATTGGTAGATAAAGCATTAATAAAGCAAGTTTGGCATTTAACTTATTTGTGCTTTACTTTGTTGATCGGACATGATCGGGGAGGCACTTCAGGTCAGGATATCAAATACGCTTCCCTGAAAGATTGCGGCTTTGTCACCTTCTCTGGAGAAAGCGATCATTTATTTTATTGTTGACATTCAAGAATCGAAAAATATATGAAAGAGTGGGAAGCTGAAGTCCAGCATTCCCTTGTTTTATTAAACTTTCCCGTGCTTGATGATGTGGAACTCTTCAGATCGCTCTTCGTGAAGTGATCATCACCGAAGTTTCACTACATTTTTCTACGGTGCTTCTCGACTGGACTGATCTGAAAGAGAACTTAATGAAACAACTTTCAGTAAAATGACTTTACAGTGTTGTTGATGTTTTATCGACTGTGTTTATTCCTTTAACAGCGTTTTTGTTCCCCGTTTCACCGTTGATTTATCAGTGCAATTATCGCGCGGCGAAGAAATTTTGTTGAAATTCATTGTTTTCGCCTCTTTCCACAGCTTTTTCTTTCTCAAATTGCTATTTTTTTTACATACCCTGGCTGCCCATTAACTCATCTAAAAGAAAAAGTTTGTTTGAAAGCCAGAGTTTATCTCTGGTTTTACTGCGCATATGGTTTATTTTAGGCGCTCGCGTACGCTTATTTTCAACCGAAAATTGCCAGGGAATTGGGGGGTTGTCGCACGTAAAAGTCCCAGGAGTGAATGGGTTAAGTAGCATCCCTACTGAGCAGCATGATGCTTGGGTATTAAAGGACCTGATTTTGATTCGGTTTTACACAAAGTCCTATATTGTGTAATACTAAAACAATTTAATCAGCATTTTGACAAGAAGATTTAATGCTCAAATAGTAGGTGCATCAACACAACATCTATTATTGTGTAACACTGAAACAATTTCATTGGAATTTTAACAAATGATTACATGCATAAAGTCATGTTATGCAATCTCACTATCTGAACGATTATTTGTAGATTAGGTTGATGTGGACTCACTGTCTGTGTCACTGTCAAGTTTTTGGCTATTAGAGCATGTACTGCTCATAAAAAAGCAGTAAGCTTTGGCTGATTATCTTCTTTCTCCCTTGAAGCGCTCCTGTCGGTCTCTAACCTGTCGATGGCTTGTCTTAAGAGAAATGATGATGGTAGCAACAAAGATCCTGACGACTGGCAGCCAAGGGCTCAGTTGAAACGCTTATTTAATTCAACAGAAATAACCCTCAATGATACAGATGCCATTAAAAAATATGCAACAAAGTTCGCTGTTGATGAAAAATACGTGCGCTCATATCTGGAGCACCTGGCAACACTGAGAATCAAAGAATCCATCAGGTTGACTCAGAGGCAAACCGACAAAAGCAAACAAGACCTAAAAACATACAATGAGTATGACTGGCTAGACATGTCTCTAAAAGGAACACTGCAACAACTAACTGTCAAAGAACTTGAGAAATATCTAACTGCCTATGGACTTGGCAAGTATGGTAAAAAAAGTGACAAAATGAAAACCATCAGCTACCATGTACTGCGAAATGAGCTTAATTCTATATACGATAAACAGCTGGAAATGGCAGACTCCATGTCCTATGCTGACCAGCAAGATGACGAATCACTCTCAGATGACGATTATGTCGTTGGCACATTCGGAAGTGACAGTGAGTAAGAACGGTAAAGTAAAGAAAATGTTATTTGTTATTACCATTTGGGTATTATGTAAGAAAGGGGGGCCCTTAAATCTTTTAACATGATTGAAGGGGGTACCTAAAAAAATGGGTGCTATTGAGTAGGGGTCTGGAAATAATTTGGGACAAAAAGCAATTTCTCCTCCTGGTTTTATTACAATCTTTATTACAATAAATGGCTTTACCTTAATGGTAAACTGAGAAATCTTTAGAATCAGTAATTCAAAAAAGTTCTTAACGAGAAGGTTAAGGTTCACAATACCTGTTAATAATTAAATACTTTCACGAGAGAAACATTTTTAGTTTTTTTATTTGTCATTATTTTGGTGAAGAGAAAAGTTACACTTAAACAAACATTTAAGATATTCAACCTATTCCTTTCATTGTGTCTTCCTTGTTTTTGTAGCCCTGGGGTTCCCCTGGGTTTTTTCCATCATCTAGCCTCTATCAGCCATTTATAACTACAGGGCTCAAAATTGCAACTCACTGGTCGCCAATGCGACCAAAAATCAAGCGTTGGCAACTAGAGCTAGTCGACAGTGGGCGACTCACCTTCACCTTTTTCCCTCACCCTTTTAACCTCAAAGGAAAATCAACCGTATTTTTGGATAAAAAGTACAATTTATCCGAACAGAAATAAAACAAACCCACGACTCTTCTGGCTCTTCGATCGCCATGTTTGATTCAGCAGCTGGTATTGCGGGCACACTAAACAACACGTGCAATCACTGAAACGTGAAGTTCACAAGAGGTCTGATCCCTGGTCAGATCATGAATATTTCATTGACTTCTAGGTCAAAGGATGCTTTAAATTCATTGCATACTTTACTAAATGCAAACAATGTAGAATCGTGCAAGAAATTGATCGATGATTTGAGCTTGTTGTGGGCCATTCAGGGGGATAAAGCAGATTTTAGCAAGCTGGTAAAGGGCAACCTTGGAACCAGCCTGATACCAGACATAGATCGCAAACCAGCAGGTCATCCTGTGGCGTTAAAATCCACTGCAAACAGAGATTGTTTGTATAATTCCACTTTGCTTTTTCTTTGTGGTGATGAAACACGAAGTAACTGGCTGCGTCTTCTAGTTGCAGAAGAACTGTACCCCAATGCTCAGTATTATGCAACGCATGAAATTTTCAAGAAAACTGCCAAATTTACTGAGATCCCGGAATCAGTTCTATTTACAGTTGCCTTGACGGCAGTTGGTGACAAAATCATATCAGATGGTGGGAGTCAAACTGAAGCAGTCAAGACTGAAGCTATAACCAGTTGCAGATTGGAGTGTGGGACTCCCTTCTTCACGTGATGGCGTTCGCATCGGTCATCAGACAGCCAATATATTCTTTATATCCAGACATCAACTTACGGTTCGGTCCTTTAATGCACCAGCTGCTAAACCCCCGTCTTTCTGCGTTGGATTATGGGCGTGATCCTGTCTACTTGCTTTGGTCAAGGGAAGGCAGTCTTGATAACCAACCAAACGCATGGTACAAGCCTAACCACTTTGTGCTAGTAGCGTGGCGATCAGATGCAACCTCTCACACCCAAGCAACCCCCCAAGTACCTGTTAGCAACATCTCGGCTAACGTGAAATCTGTTGAAAAGAAAACAAGTGTCAGAGCAAAACAGGGAAATATTTTAACTTTTCTTAAGCCGGCCCAAGCCAAACCGGAGAAGAAAGGGAAAGGAAAAGCTGACTATTTGCGAAACCAACCGGAGAATACAGCCGCCAAGAGAAGTGCAGAGAATGCAGAGCTAACACTTGATGACAGAGAACAAGTTACGCTTAAGAAGCCTGCCAGTAAACGCAAGTTTTTTCTGCAGTGGTAGGAGGAGTTCACCTGGGTCGTTTTCGACAAAGATGACAACAAAATGACATGCAAAATTTGTTGTGCCTTTCCACACTTGGCAGGCAAAACGGAATTTGTATCAGGTTGCCGCACATTTAAGAAGGAGACCTTGCAGAAGCACAATATTGGTGGTCATCTTCGCATCAATGACGCGAGTCTCGCAAAACAAAAGCCAATAGAAAATTCGCCCATTGCACAAAGCTTGAGAAGAGGGGGGAAGGTATTAGAAGAGCAGAACAGGGAAGAACTTGAAGTCAAAGAGAACACTTCCTATCTAATAGCGAAAGAAGAACTGCCAATCCCTAAATTCCATCCAATTCTTTCACTACAAAAGAAAAATGGATTAGACTTGAATATGACGTACGCAAATGATAAAGGTTGCAACAACTTTGTCTCGCAAATTAGCACAGTTATGACAGAGCAATTAGCCGTGAAGTCAATTCAAAAACGTAAATCAGTCTCCTGATAGATGGAGCCACAGATACTAGCGGAAAAGAAAACGAAACAGTGCACTGCCGTTACGTCAAAGATGGTCAGCCATTAAATCGATTGGTGGGGCACAACGCCGTGGCCCATGGCCACACACAAGGTAAGTTTCTCAGTAAAAATTGAACACTTAACAAAAATTTACGAAATAAGGGCAATAAAGCGTGGAATACAGACTACTCCTGTCCTTCTACAGGGTGTAAGTCACTCTTACTATAGTTAAACTGTTCTTACTTTACACTGACGGCTTCAATGGCAAAATATTTATTTAGGGCTCAAATACTCAACTTTGACGAAATTTTAGTAGTAGCGGTTGATAATGAAAAATTTAGTTATCACTATAGAAAACAATCAATTGCATTCAATTTAGAAGTTTATTTACTTCTAACTACTTTTGAAGGTATTTTGGATACTGTCAAGGAGTCAATTGAGGGTGTTGGCATTCTTGAATGGAAGGATAAACTGGTCGGCATTGGTGTGGAGGGTGCTTCAGTGAACCCGGGGAAGAAAGGAGGTGTTGCAGCGTTGTTGTGACTAGACATTCCATATCTCATCGACTTCCACTGCCTCCCACATTGGCTAGAACTGGCCCTAATTGAAATGCAAAGAACTTGCCGTCAAGTGGAGATCATTTACAAGGTGCTGCAGATGATATGGAAGACCTATCATTATAGCCCCAAAAGTACACGTGAGATACAAGCCATTGGCAACAAATTGGGGTTGAGTGTACTGAAGCCAACACAGGTGAGCGGAACAAGGTGGCTCCCTCACATCAGCCGAGCACTCAAAGGTTTGATAACACCAAATTCAGATGGTTCTGGCCAATATGCTGCGGTGTTGTGCCATATGGACCAACTAAGTGCAACATCAAAAAATGCATTCATAAAGGGGCGAGCAAAGTTTGTAAGTGAGAAGATGAGAAGCATCAGGTTTTCTGCATTCTGTCATTTCCTGGCGGACATGTTTGCAATAATTTCGAAGTTATGTCTGAAGATGCAAAGAAATGATTTAATTCTTCCTGTAGCAGTGTCCCTCCTCCATGAAACAATAGCCAACGTTGATGCCTTGAAACTCTGGCCCGTCCCAAATGGACATTTGAAATGGTTCATGAATATGCTTGAGGAGTCCGGGGTTCACGATGAGGTTTAGTTTCAAGGCCACACATTGCAAGGGTCTCTGGATGGGACACCCAAGAGAGGAAACACCCAAACTGATAGTTTCAAGGCTTCAGTGATTGAGGTAATTGAGCTAAAAGAGAGGTTTGGCTCTATGCTCTGTTCAGTGACGGACACTCAAGCCTTGGCGTGTAGTACCACCAGTGAAGTGGTTAAAGATATGCTCGTTTTTAACGTAGATGCATGGCCATGTGGCACACAAGATCTTGTTGACTTTGGTAATAACATGATTGATCGCCTGACCAGCTGGTTTAAACCCACACTACAGAAGGCTGGCTGTGATGTTGATTCAATTTCTGAAGAGTGGTTTTCACTCAAGGTCATCGTCAACACCACTTTCCTTGACAAGGATTACACAAGCTTGTGGGAGACCATGCTTACCAAGCTGCCGTACAAAGACGAGTTCAAAAATCTTATTCATCCTGTAGAAATCATGCTGGTTCAGCCAATTTCAGCCGCCCAAAGTGAGCGTGCCATCTCCGCTCAGAAAAGGGTCAAGAATAGCCTACGTGTTGCCCTTGGATCCTCCACACTTGAAGATTTGATCCGAATTACAGCAGAAGGCCCATCGGTTGAGGAATTTCATCCAGCACCTGTGGTCGACAAGTGGCTTTTAAGGAACAGGGAAGCAGGAGAAAGGCAGCGGCGACGAAGTTTCAGAATGACATGAAGTTTCACAAATGAAGTTCAATCATTACCTGAAGATGCTAAGGAACATCACATTTGCTGTAATTATATCTTATTAAACTTAGGACTATGATGAAGACTGCATGTGTACATGATCATCAGGAAAATGAATAAAAAAACATCAGTGAAAAAAATGGCGACTAAAAGTTAAGATCTGGCGACCAAAATTTTTGGATTAGTCGCCAATTGGCGAAAAATGTTTATTTCAAGCCCTGAACTACATTACCTAAAGTTCCCATAAACCACCTACCCTCCACCCTTTAATTTTCAGTCCCTCGTCTTCAAATACTTAACCCTAATCTACTTTGAGGTTGATATGGCCGCATTACAGTTTACCAGTCCCTCATTGCTAATACTTATCCTGAAATCTAAGTAAAAATTTTGGCTTTTCACCTAAATTTATTTAATTTTGTCCTATCGTAGTTTTCCTTTTTAAAATTTCAGTTGGTCTTCATAAATGTTGCCTGAATATAACAATGCCTTGCCTTAACTGCTTCACTCAATCAACAGCAAATTCAAAGTTAACAGACAAAAAACTGGGCACTAGCCTGAGATAACTACTTGACGCACCCCACATCTCCCGTCTTTTTGCTTCACTCATCCCAACAAGAATTCAAGTCTAAACAAGGGGACAACAATGCTTCCATTGGAGAACCAAATTCAGGTAATCCTCTACCAGATTCCCCATATTTCTTCTTTGAAGACCCAACTTTCATTGCTAGCATGGCTAAAGCCCTCATACCGTCAATTATCAAGGGTGTTAAGCACTCATTCCACCCATCAGATCAACCATATGGTGAGCGCATGATTTACGAACAGACTACCGGTAACTCCCTCGACAAGGTCCCGGTATCGAGAGGGGGGGCAATAAACAATAACTGGAGCACACATTTCAGAGGTCAACCTTACCAACTATCCAGACCATTTGGGGGAAGAGGCAGAGCAACATCAACCTCAACCCAGTCGCTCCCCTAAGTCGAGTAAAGGAGCAGTCACTCTTAGTTCCAGGAATGCCCATAAATCTTCCCTCGTTTCCAATGGTTTCAAAACAGTTCATAGGATGAAGAATTGCTCTTTTTTATCAGTTTTGGCAGGAAATGACAAGTGACCCCTGGGTATTAGAAACTCTCTTAGGTTACAGAATAGAGTTTGTAGATTTTCTATGTCAGGAGTACCTGCCTTCACTATACATGACTGCCGAAGAGCTACAGCTCATAGACCAAGAAATTTTTACCATTCAACAGAAACAAGCCATCCACAAGGTTTTCCATCTGGGCGGTCCAGATTAGTTCTTAAGCACTTTGTTTATGGTCCCCAAAAGAGTGGGGGCCACAGACCAGTGGTGAACCTCAAGGGTCTAAACCACTTTGTAGAGTACAAACATTTCAAAGTGGAAGGTGTACCAATCCTCAAAAATCTCCTAAAACCAAAGGATTTCTTGACCAAAATAGACCTAAAAGATGCCTACCTCACTGTTCCAATTTGGAAACAACACCAGAAATTCCTCCAGTTTATATGGCGGGACAATGTGAGAGTTTGCATCATTAAACAACAGCCATAATAACTTCCACAGAAATTACATGACCAGGATATTTCCACAAATACACATTTTTTTGGATGAAACAAAATTGCCAATTTAATCTGAGGAGTGCCACACAAACCATGTGGCACATGTTAATTAATTGATCTTTACATCCCATGGGATGCACACCATGAATTATTTTGAGTCTCTGGGGATTTTTATGGGTTACAATTTGGTATTTCAGAGCAAGAATGATGCTAATCCATAACAGGAAAAAAAACACTTGTTAAGCATCATGGACACAGAATGCAGAAGTAACAGAATCACCAACTTCTCAAAAAGGCCATCTGGAAAGAAGCGTTTTGTAATGAATACAAGAATAACAGTTGCAATGACTCAGAATACAGAATACGTCCCAAAAAGGACACAGACGATGTAAATGAAGATGAAGATGTAGATACGAACTGCCCCCCCTACTGAGGATGACGACAAGCCAGCGAAAAAAGGCAAAAAGAGAAAACATCCTCCATGCCAAAGCAATGAAGAAGAAGAGCCTAAACTGAAAAAGAAACCACCCCCGGAAAGAAAGAAGGGGAAAGGAAGCTCACTAAAAAGCGTGACCACCATGTCAAACATCAACGACCTGTCTGCCACAAAAAAAAAATGCCAATCTAAGGCATCATCTTCAGATGCACACCAGCAGGGGACAAATAACACCAGACCAGGTGAGCACATTCCTGTCCGTTGCAATTAACAATAGTAGATGCCATGGGCTGTAAAGGAAAGTGAGAACTGGCAGATTGCTAAGGCTGCCGCTCAATTGCTGCCCAATTGAGGGCTGCAGTAAAGTGACTTCATACATCCGAAGCCACCTAACCCATCATCACAGACTTGAGCCTTGATTGACTTCATCAATCAGCAAAATAGGTAACAAATTGACCTCCCCTGACCTGACAAGACTGACCTTCCAGGAGCTGGAGAGAACTTTTCAATACAGAAAATCAAGCATCTAAGACAGAAACTTGGCTGAGTAGACTTTGAGTTTTTGTAGGATAAGCTAAAGACTAATGCAAAAACGTTTTGGTCATTTCATTCTCTCAAATCAAGGACAAAAAGACTACCCAATATTTTTTTTTTAAGTCAACAAAAACATTACGTAAACTTTACAACCTGAGGACCAAAAGACTACCCAAGATGACTTTTGCAAGTAAAGCTAACTCTGCAAAAGATCCTGTGGAAAAACATCCTTCATTCAATATCGAAAAGCTCTCTTTTCTCTACTAATTCATCAGACTCTTCCAGTCTTAATTTTAACCTTGCTTAAAATAAATTTAGCCACATATAATAGCGCATAATACCACAAACACCTTGAGACCTTCATTTCCCATCACTTCTTTTTAACCCTTAGGTCTTCCTTTAGTCTTTAACTCTGGTTTTAATTTGCCCTTGCTGATAGAGGTAAAATTGTTCTAATAAATAATTATCACTTGTGCAGTTTGTCTTAATTTTGTCAATATCTCGTAATTTGCAGCAGTTTTTATTCTTTAATTTTATTATGTAAAAAAATAAATGAATTATGTCAAATTTACTTTTCAGTTTATCTCTATGACACACGGCAATATCCCGTGTTTGATGAACTTTCCAACCACATGTCCATAAGACTAACAATATGCCAACAATAAAACCCTTGATGGTCCTTTTTTGACATTTGAAATTGGAGTAGCTGACAAATAGTGCTGGAAAATTACTTTTGTTGTGATCAGTCAGAGAAGAAAATGCAATGTTTGTGCTCCACAAGTTAAGTTCAGTACAAAAACATTTTTCTGAGACCTAGATTACAACTGTGGAACTGCGGTAACGGCCACAAGACAAGGAACAGAAGAACTCCACACTAGCAACAAAGGAATTTAAAGTTCAACTCAGGTGATTCAACATGAGCAACACAGAGGATACAAATGCAAGCAAAGAGGAACAACACCTGGACAAAGACATTGTCAAGGAAACTAACAAGCCAAAGTACTTTTTGGAGGAAACAGACGAATTCATTAAAGTACAAGATTACACAGAAATTGAATTAATGGGCAAGAGACAAGCAGAAATGATAATTATTGGATCTTGTTGCACAAACAGGAGTTGAAAACTGATAGCAGTATAACCCCTTGAACCGTGAGACAGTGAGAAAAAGATTTTAGATCCAAGTAGATCGCATTAGTAGAAAACAAGGAAAAGTTGACCAAATCCCTGAAAAACAAAGAAGAGCAAATTATCGAGGAAAGTGGATGGAGGAAAGAGGACTCAATGTTGAAAAGACAAAGGGAAGATAAAAGGCAATTGATGATACAAATAGGAATACAAGCTAGGGGTGTAATGATTCATGTACCTTTTGATTTGATTTGATTATCCAAAATAAGTTTCAAATTAAGGCAGTAATCCTTGTTGAATTAACTCACAAAGTTTCACCGAGATAAGAGGGCTTCTCAGCTACTGAGCTGCATTAATTATCACAAAAGTACTTTGTTGCATTATTATTTTAACTTAATTAACCGTTAAAACCTTGTTAAAGTTCTAGTCTACAAAAAAATATAATTTTACAGTATTATATGCAAAGGGCAACTGCAACTAGCACATGGAAGATCTGCTAAACCACTTTCACTGTCATTTGAAGATGTAGACATGTCCTTTGCGCCTAAAATTATTTTGCTACAAGTTGAAGTAGTTTTTGATTCCATTATTAAAGAAAATACTACAATATTTGAATTCTGTTTGTTTAGATATATCGTATAAATCTTCACTGCTGTCTAAATCCATCGTTTTCTCTTTGTCACATCACGTCGCTCAGCTGGTACTTGCAGGAAATGAGCAGGCAAAGCAGGAAATTTGTGGTCAATTCATTGGTTGGCACAACCTTAAATTCACAGTTGCCAGAAAAGTGTGAAATTGAATGCTCCTCATTGGCTGATACGAGGTGAGCTAAGAAGTTTCCAGTTCAAACTCACCTACAATATTCTTCCAACTAACCTGGAAAATGAATGTTAAATCTTCTCCAAAATGCGAACAATGTGATGCTCGCTGTGAAACTATTAGCCATATATTTTACAAGTGTCTTGCCGTCAAAATTGTTTGGGAAAAAGTCATAGATTAGTGGAATCATAAATGTTCCGAAAACATAAATCCCAATCCAATCGAAGTTCTTTTTGGATACAAACCTGAATCTCACAGCTTTCATACTTTTAACCATTACTGGTATCTCTTAATTGCTGGATATTACATTTACTTAGCTAGAAACAAGTTTGAGACCCCAGAACTGGAGGTTTTCATAATTTGTTCTCCTGAAAATTAAAATCCAGTCCAAAAAGAAACTGCAATAAAAAACGGAACTAACAAATACAGAAATAAGTGGACCACTCTGTGCATTTCTGATTAGTGTTAATTTTAGTAATTTAGCAAATGTGCACCATTATTATTTTTCTATTTGTTCTTCCAGTTGTTGTGAATCTGTTGAACTTTCGTATTTTGCCTTTTTTTAGTTTGTTTGTTTGATTTGTTTGTTTTAACTGTTTTGCCTCCTGTTTTGTAAAGCTTATTGTAATGTCATGTTTGAATGATTTTAATAAATAAATTATCAAAAAAAGGCAGAAATGTGAACAAGTGGAAAATGAAGTTATTCAGCTGAAGCATCAAAAAATGTTGTGGCATCTTCAGAAACATAAGAGCATGCAAACTAAAGAACTTGATTTATTAAAGGAACATAATGCTGCCATGATCTTAAAGCTAGAATTAAGTGCTGGAG